AGACACTCGACAAGGCCCTGAATGAGGGTTCGGTAAAGGTGCTCTTTAGGGAACCGATCTGTATGTGATGACCCTCTTCCCTCCCCCCTCGTCTCCTCTGAAAGAATCGCTCGGGCGTTTTGACGTCTACCTTTCTAGCTCGAAGAGTCATTTTTGAGCTTGTGGAACCCGATGGGACGATGCGCGACTCGACGTTGGGTTTCTCTCCTCGGTGGTGTTTCGACCATCTCTTTGCGGAAAAAACTTATGGGTGCGACATAACCTCCTCTGTCTATTCTCCTCTTTTTTCTCGTGCTTATTTCTTTATTTCTTTAGGAGCATAACCATTGAAATGTTAAAGATGCTCAACGGTCAAACCCTGATGTCGATCCTCTCTTCAGGTACCTGGATACGACAAACCTGCTCCTCCTCGCGTTGCTAACGTCGTATCTAGTGAAAGGGTTAAAGATTCCACAAGGCCATTTACCATGGATCTCTCTCCCTCCGAAACTCTGGCAAGCAGGATACTACATCACGGGCGTCCCCCGTACCTGTGTACCCGTCGCAGTGAACGATAAGATTCCCTCGAGTGCACCTTCACTGGGAGCAAAGTTTCGAAAGGATCAGAGGCTGCTCTTGCAACGCGCCATCGACTCTGGCCTTGTGGCAGTTTTAGAACGACCTCCTGGTGCGTTTTTTTTCTTTTCTTTTCCATCTTTTCAGCATCTCACGATACATATCAAACTAGATCGTCAAGTCATTTTCGAAGTGCTCGATACCGATGGCGTGCTTCGTGACTATGACTGCGGATTTTCTGCAGAATGGAAGGCCCGGAATAGCGAAAGGAAGCCCCGAAGGAGACCGGCACCTGCAGAACCGACGCAGATTGTGATACCAGCAATGAGGTTGGTACTCATCCTATAGACTACATTTTTTAATCTTCTAACCACCATCGCTCTCTAGCTCAGCATATCCGCCCCATGTCACGCCTGATGTGAATTCTGTCGTCGAGTATTACAAAGCGCTTTTAGGTAGGACATTTTTTTAGCGAGTTCTCTTACCCATGCTTAAGCAATGCAATAGTTCCATGTGGTCTTCTGCTTGATACTCCTATCGGACCAGCATGGAACTGTCTACCTCAAATGCTCGCTACCAAACGGCTGATCATTCTCGGTTTGCCTCGCATTTGCATCCCAGTTGTACAGAACGACATCGTCGCAGATAACTTTGATCCTTTCGTATGGAGTTCGGCAGCTCATATCGCCTTTCTGAAAGTCGCGTGTCGTCATCGGGTCTATGTCGCTCCCCGACCACCAGGTACAGCCTACTCATACCGACGAAGCCTCATTAACGATGGAACCTGATGGTTGTGTTAACAGGACAGAGAATTCTATATCGGGTTCTGGAGGAAAACGGAGTCTTGACGGCAGATACCCTCGGCTTTTCTGAGGATTGGTGTAAACAGTATTTGGACCCACTCGATCTGTATGTGTTGAAGTGATTCTGCAACGCATTACTGAAGTCCAGGTCATGTAGCACCAGTCCCACCATCGCTCCTGGGGTGTATGTGATCGGAATGTGGCTCGATATGCTTGGTGAGCTCGCCTAAATTCTAGTAGAGATGAGACGATTGACTCGACCTTTTGTCACAGAGAACGTCAACATTCCTTGCCATGACAACATGGGGCGCAGACATATCCAATGGGCGTACCTCCCAACGTTCCTGGCGCACAGAGGGCTATGCATCACCGGCTGTCCACGTGAATGTATCCCCCGTGTGGACAACGATATGGTTCTGGAAATATCTAGCCCTTACTACTACGACGGAATGCGACTCGCGGCGATGCACAAGGCGTTTACTCAGAGGAAGGTGTCCATAAGGCCACGTGCAGACGGTGCATAAGTATTCCCTTTGTCCCTTGAAATGGAGTTTCTCATCATGTCACCATTAGGCGAGTACGCGCTCTTTTATGGGTCTGAGAACGGACGGTCATGGGAGTCGACTTGTGGGTTTTCCGAGAACTGGGTTCAAAAGACCATTCGTCCGTTTCCCGGTGGCGCTATCAACTACGTACCCGTGCCACCAATGACGATTCAGCGGCCAATAGTCCCTCTCCAGATCCAGATGCCTGGTCCAATAGCTTCACAACCAAATGTCTCCCGATTGCCGACTCCGGTAGATACTCCTCTTCGCGAGAAGGGTCCAAAGACAACTTCAGACCCACCGGCATCGGCACTTGTATCGGTATTGACATCGACGTCGACGTCAACGTCTACGCCTAAACCTGTCGCCCCGATCACACCAGAGTCTTCAGCAGCATCGAGAGGATCGGTTGATTCTTCTGATTCAGTTTCATCGCCGACGCCTATGCCCAAAATAAAGGAAGAACCAGCTGTGTCTCTCAAAATCATCATCCCACCTTTCAAGCGACGTGCGACAGCAGCCGCTGCGATAAAGCCACCAGAGAATCCGGTACCAGCGAATAAACCTGTTGTATCTACTGCTGCAGAGGTGGATACGGCGACTGTCTTGCCCTCAAGGGCTGTCCCCTCTGCAGCTGCCTCTTCGTCAGCTGCCTTGGCGACGATTACACCATCTCCCACCCCTCCACGCGTCGATGGTCCTCCACGCTCGTTTCATCCTTCTTCCGGTCTCGTAGTCTTCCCTGCCGCGATGCCCCCACCACTGTTTGCCTGGGGACCTCTCCCACAGGTTCAACCGGTTTCGACTCTCCCGACTCACTTGCTCACTTCCAAGAGACCTGTCATCAAGGTTTCGTATTCCTCTCCTCGCCGACGCAACAAGATCAAACAAGTAGTCGCTACGCCCAGCCCTCCCGCCGTTTCTGACCCATCGGATGATGAACCTTCGGAAAACTATGCTGTGATCCGACGAATTGGACCCCGTGGCTCCCTTTCTCCACCTTTACCGCCTTCGCATACGTTGCCGAACCCTCTACCGGACATATCGCCACCCACCTTTCTCCCAAAGCCTGGCGGCAACCTACGCTGGGACGAGGAACGGAAGAGATGGGAACTGACAGTTTCGGAGGCTTTTCCTCCCTCCGAGTGGCAGCGACTTCTTCCTGTCTATCCTTCCCGTGTCCTCTGGAACCCGGCGTTGCAGATCTGGTGTTGCGAGCCGTCGATGGAGCTCACTTGGCCACCGAAGGAGGACAAAATTGGGTTGAGTAAGGAGGTTCGGGCCGATCTGGTGTCGTCGAAGCGGGACGGGCCTTTACCTGTGCTCGAGCCAGGACTCTGTATCATCTGGCATCGTTGGAGACGGACCTGGGGGCTCTTTCAGTTTGATCCGCAGCGACAGCCGAAAATTGTATCATCCTCTTCTTCTTGAGATGGCTTTCGTTCTTTGTTTAATATTCTTCCCTTTTCTCATTTTTTTTTTTTTTGGCTCTCTCCCCGTTTCCCCTGTATAATGTCCCCATCATCTTCATGACGCATTGTGTTTCTCTATCATGCTCTCACTCTAGGTTTCGTATATTGGACGTTTCGCACGTTAATGATGTAAAACTTTCCGTTTGTGGCAGTTTTAATCGATTCATATAATTAATGGCAAGTTTGGTATATAAACTCTTAATTTCTTAGAATTTTGCAGTTGGGTAAATAACTCAGTTGGTAGAGTGCTCGCTTCGCAATCAAAGCTGCGTGAAGTCCAGGGTTCGACTCCCTGTTTATCCACTCTTTTTTTTTTCGTTTACAATCTTGAAAGACCCACATTTTGCGTTTGCGTTTGATTTCTTGCTCGTGCACTTTGAGGTTCTTGTTTTTTTTGTGTTCACTCTTAGAAAGTTCAAACTGTAGGTTTGACAAGACGATCTATCGTAGTATTCACATCAAGAAATAGCAGTGGATAATGATACAGTCGTAAACGTCGAGTTTCGGGCGCTATTCGTCACTGGAAGGAAGCTCAGTCATCATTTGCTTCTTCTTTGCCTTCTTGGGTTTGTTTTCCTTATTAT